CCCAGCAGGCACCGCGCCCTGCCTGCGAGTGCCGTGGGCGCTAAAGCCACTCTCCAAGCTGAGGGATGGGCCGACAGCTCTTCCTGGTCCGCACTGGCTGGTGGCGCGCGCCCGAACGCCCCGGACGAGAACGAAGCCAGGCTTGGCGACTGGCCTCATGGCTGGCAACGGCTCGCGTCGCAGACTCGTGAACCTTTACGACCGCGACTGCGTGCTGTTGCCCTCCCTGACCCCCAGCCGATGCCCTGCTACGATCCCAGGCCAGACAGCAATCGGCAGCTTGGCTGGCCGCAATCCCCTCCGAGCCAGGCTTAAGGGCTGGTGGTTCCCCATCGATGTTGCCGGTGCCAGCGAGGGGGAGCGACAGCAGGCAAAAGCAGAAATGGCGGCGGACGGCTGCGGGACGGCTGGACGGTGGCACAGAGCGGGCACGGCAACGTGCCAGCAGACGCACAAAACGGGCTGCTTCAAGCTCCCACGATGGTTAGACGGCACCGGGAGGCGCGAGCGAACTCGGGGTAGGTGCGGAGTTCGCGCGGCGCGCGACGAGGAGTGCCGCCCGGCTGCAGCGAGGTTGAGATCACGCACGCGGACATTGATGGCGACAGTGGCCCCAGCCTCCACAGACTCGAGCCGCCGCACGCTCCAGGGGGCCTCCCCTCGCACGCAGGACTCCAGATCGGGGGCACGCAGCGATGTTGTTTGGAAAACACGTATTGTCGTTGACACTTTCCCAAATGCGTACATTGGATAAACAAAATCATACATTTGATGCATTGCAAGCTTTGTGGCTGGTTGGGTGCGAGGCGTCAGAGTCAGGCCTGAAATCCCGAAGGCGGCCCATTGAGGGTTCAGGCATAAGGCTGAAGGCTACCATACAAACTCGACGAAAGCATCCAAATGAGTCATCCATTGGCGTGTTTCTTTAGCAATTGTAAACCAGTCTCCCAACTCGCGCCAGCGGCAGAAACGTTCAATGGCAGAATGCCATGCAGATGGAGGTCGCCCCACACGGGGAAACGGGAATCCAATGAAATACACGCACCACCCAGCGGTGGGCTTTCGCCCTGAAGCAGCTGGTCGGTAGTTAGCACTTTGGTCTTTGTCGCATTCAATATGAGCCCCACCTGTTTAAGAGCGTAGCATATCTCATCGAGCTGGCTCCGTGGTGGCGAATAACAACAACTCTCCTGCAAATCGTAAATCAAGCAAGCGCTGTAAACCATCATTCAAATCGACGCCACGATGTTGAACACGCGTGCGCCAATTTGCAAGCGCGACTTGTAAAACCGAGGCAAAAAGTCGCGGGCTCAGCACGCAAACCTTGTCGAACCCCTCCTTCGTGCGAGTTGCTACCGAATATTCGAACAGCACCATGAGTCGGATGACTGTCGGGTGAAACACAGATTGACTAGCGTTGCACATACACCCTGTGGACACCTGGTCTCGCCAGCTAGCACGACGTCACGACGTCAGTACAACTTCGCTTTGCAAATGTTGCGATTTGTTTTTTCTCCCGCGTGGTCGTCTGCCTGCCGACGCGGAACGCCGGGCTATGCCGGGCTGGTGCCCTAGGGCAGCGGCAGCCTGCGAGTTCCGGGTCGGCCAGCTACAGCTCACCGCCGCGCCCAGGCCGACGAGGCGCTTGCCCGGAGGGCGGGCGGCACGAGCAACGCCCTGACGCGCAAGAGCTGCCGCACCAAGTCGTGCGCGTCAGGGCATGCCAGGACGCACAGCCACTGGCTGCCGCCGCCTCAGCTCCGGGTATGTGGCGGAAGCCGTGCGGAGGGCAATCCAGGGGGGTGTTTGCCGCTTGGGGATGGGGTGTGCCGGCCGTGCTGATGGGGCGCACCGACGTTGCAGCACAGCACAAGGCCATGCCCCATGCACGAGTTCAAACCTTGCTCTCGGCCGCTCTTGGGCACTGCGGTGCAATTGGGGGGCCGCGACTGCTCTTGGGCACGCCGTTTTTGTCGCCATGTTACTCAGGATTAACAAGCCCTGACGGCTGCGTAGCCCTGACGTCTGCGTAGGCAGGCATCCGCGGCGCCTGCCAGGGCCGCCGCAAGCGCCAGCATGCGCAGGTCTGACACGCCCGTACGGTCGCGCGCAGGCCAGCCGGCCTGAAGAGGAAGGCGCCTCAACCGTGCCGTTTTGGTGCACACCACAGTCTCGCATTGCACAGTGCGCCGCCTGCGGCAGCCGGTAGGCGAGATGATCCCCTATTGCGTGCGCCTCGGTCCCACACGCCTGATCGCCGTGACGTTGAATTCGATTCGTGTTGCGTGTGCTTGGAGGCACTCCAACCAAGCACGTCTGGAGATCGCGCGCCGCGGCCATTCCCGACGTGCGCGCGTCACAAACTGCACCTCGGGTGCTTGGCCCAATGCCGCGTGCAAGCGGCCGACCTATTGCGCCCCTTGTGCCGCCACTGTCGCTGCCCCGCATGCGAGCCGGGTGGATGGACGGCCCAGCACGATGCGGCGTTGCGCGACGAGTGTGCGCGCCAAGGTGTGCAGATGCCGGTCCGGATTTCTGGTGAAAGTGCGGGAGGCCGTGCAAGACTATGCACTTCGCACCTTCACCTCCAACGACGCGCCCGAACCACCACCGCCTCCGGATGATCAAGTGTAGTATCTGTTCTTATCAGTGTGACAACAGATATGTCTCCAACTGGAGACTTGCTTGTCACATCAATTTTTGCTGGGGAAGTGTCTTCATGAGCTCGCTCAGAAGCCTTCACGTGTTGCGCTGGCATGGCACCAAGCCAGTGGCAGCACACCCTAAAAGTGGCTGCCTGCCGTAATGAAGTTGCGGCTATGCCTTCGCTCCGCTTGTTTGCCCAGTGCCACAGCCACATGACCTTTTGCTCATATGTCCACAACTCTCGCTTGCAATCATCAGTTGTGCGTGAGTGGTCATTAGCACGTTGTGGACACCATCCATTTATGGATGGGCGAACAGCTCGTCATCGGTCTCAGAATTTGCCGTGCCTATGCGGCGATGACGACTGGAGCTTTCTTCACGCAACGCGCGTTTGCCCGATTTTCGCATCCTGGAGGGATGTGTGGCTATGTGTGGCTGCGGCGCTGTGAAGCGGCAGGTGTGCATGGAGTTGAGCAGTTTGCTGACGCTGCCTTCTTGCAGCTGCTCTTTACGCCGCATGACCGGCGCAACTCCATTAGTCTCATGTCTGCCCACTTGAGCTTTGTGGCAGCCGTGTGTCAAGCCCAGCGTTCCCTGCTGGACGGTCTGAGCGTGTAATTCTGAATGCTGTTTGTTTGAGTTATGTTTCGTTGCACATCGCGATCTGTACATTTGTTTCACTTGGTAGTTAGTCGCTGACCGCTGGACGGTTGCTTGAGGACTCGTGCTGCTTGCAACCGGGTCACGGCCACATGAAGTGCGGGGGGGATCGACTTTGTTGCTATCCCGCACTGTTCGTAGAGCAAAACCATCGCAGTATGCAATCGGCACCCATACGCGTACGGGGCGAAGCAGGCATTCTGGCTTGCTGCACGTTTCGCCGGAACTCTGCGCTGAATTTCTGCCGAGCACGCCGGTTGGGCACGCCGATTTCGTCCAAGCAGGGGCTGACGCACGAACACCGCCGACTGGACGAGCTCCGAGACCTCCAGTGCGCTTGGCTGTTGCTGTTGTTCTGCACGTCGCCCCGCGCCAACCATGCCTTGCGAACGCTCCCGCTTTCGGAATCAGCATATTACGCGCGGGCACACGACCAAGCAATCTGGGGGACACTCCAAGCATGGTTCGGCTTGCAATCAGTGGAGCGGACGGCTGCCGCGGGGTACTGGGCAGCGTGGATGGATGCGCTCCCCGTTCTTCGTTCCGGCTTGCCCGGCGGGGCGGACCGTTGCTTGGTGGTTCTGGAGCAGGGCGCGGCAGGCAACGCATCTCCCCAGTCTTTGCCGTTCCTGGGGGCTCACCTTTGGGATGGCCATGTCGCATCCTTCCTGTATTGCCTGCACCACAGTGTCGCGAGCCTCGCGTGCACGATCCCGCGTGGTCGACTTGTACAGGTTAGGGTGCCTTGTTCGCACCCCTCTCCTTGAGCGATATCGTGGCAGTAAGGATGGCCGCAAAACAGCCGCACGAATGGAAAGAACTCAAAGTCATAAACGAGGTGGGTGAGTTGCTGTTGTAGGCACCCGCCCATCTTGCTAACCATACCATATAACCATCTAGACCCACAGCAAAAGATGGGACACGTCTCTGAAGACAGTATAGAGTAGAAAGGGTGTTGAAAGTTGTGGCCACCCAGGTCTGTGGCGATATCACGCCAGCAAACGCACATTCGTGAATTCCAATCGTGGTGGGCAGCTGGGAATGGTGATGCGCTAGTTGCATCTCATCCACTTCTGTCCTTGGCCTCGTGCTCAGAGTGTGTAGACTGCGTGGCTAAACGTTTTCATCTGATCTATGAAGAAATAAATAAGGTCGACACCTCAATTTTAGCTGAGCCCGGATTGCATTTCAGAGCGGAGGATGCAGCACAGTCATAGCTCCTAACAAGTGCCCCCGGGAAGTGTAAAGCACAACAATGCATAGGATTCAAAACGTTTTGATGCTTAGCAAAAACAAGCCGAGGACATCGTGTCCTCCGGATCTGCGTATCACAACTGTTTGGGCCAGGGCCCTGGTCCATGTTTGTTGACGGCTTGACAAACTTAGCTGTTGGTTGGGCGGCTGTCGCGTCGTGGAACTGCCGCCATCCAGGCATCGAGCAGCTTGACAAGTTGTTGAACACGGTGGACAACTCTGTGGGAAGCTTGACGTTGGAGCCTTTGAGGAAAGCCCTTCGCAGCAAAGGCGGGGCACGGAATCAAGCGCGCGCAGTGCATCGCCAGCAAGGATAGTTCGGGTTTTTGCTGTTTCCTGGATGTGTTTTTGGTTTTTGTTTGATTCATGCATGTCGACATGTCCACACCAGCTGTCGGGTTCGCTTGACTGAGGTCGGCAGTTTGCTGTTCAGCACCGCGATGGATGTGTTTGAGGCTCTGCCTGCGAAGCAGCCTCCCGCCACGGAGTTCAGACCGATCTCAGAAGGAACGCCATGCCAAGCAAAGCAAGCAGACACGGGTGCCGAGATGGAATGGGTGTTGGACGAGGTCTTCGACCCCCCGCGGCGCTTCCAGAGCTCCAGCTCCTTCCCGCCGGAAGCAACCGCCGCCGTCCGCGCTGCGCCAAGGCAGGAGAGTGAGCTGCTGGGGTGCCTTTCTTGTGGCTCAGCAGTGATGGCCACCGGAACTTGCGGGCCTTACTTGCAGTGCAAAGTTGCAGAGACTGTTGCCGAGCCGCTGGGGAAAGCACGGCCGGAGTTTGGTTTCGTTCTGCAGCAGCTGGACGGGCTGCCTTTGTTCACGCCTGCAGAGCCAGGCCATGTTCACATGGTCGACGAGCAATTTGACCCGGCCAAAACATTTGTCTGCGCCCCATCTTTTCCGAAGACCTCGATGGCAGCAGTTCGGTTGGCACCAACACCAGACAGCGAACTGGTCACCACACTTCCATTCGGGTCACAAGTGCAAGCAACAGCAAGTGCCGGAACATATTTGCAGTTCAGGTTGCAAGATGCTTGTGCTGAAGGAGGGTCGAAATTGGTCTGGGTGCCGCGGGTGCTTGGTGATGTGGTTTTGTTCGTGGAGCACAAGGATCCGAACTCAACGGATGTTGATCAAGGTCCTTCCGGTTTGACGGCTGAGGCTGCCATTTGTGAGCAGACCGACCAGATCAATCGATTTCAGCAGTGGTGGGCAGATGGTCACGGTGAAGCAGCAGCTGCGGGCCACTCCATATTGTCACTAGTTGACCGGTCTGTTCTGCAAGAAGTGGTGTCAGCCGGCGCAAACTACCACAACTGTTTGAGTGCGGACCGGTTAGATGGGTTGCAGAGATTGGTGACCAAGTCCCGGAAACCAGGCTTAGATGCTTTGCGTCGAGCTTTGCTGACCAAAGGGGGGGCCAAGAGCCAGGCCCGTGCAGTAGGCACCGTCCTTTTCAAGGAAGCCCTCGCAATTTTCACGGGCCCGAAGACGGAGAAGACAGGCCCGCTTGCAGACGACACAGGTAATCCATCTGTCGCTGACGCCACAATGCCCGAGCAGGGTTGTGTTGGTGAGAGTCAGCACGAGGTGATATTAGACGAGGTCTACCTTCCTCCCAGGCGATTTGTTTGTTCGGCTGCCTTCCCGCAGGATGCCACTGTGGCAGTGCGAGCTGTTCCTGACTCTGCAGGGGATCTGTTGACCAGCTTGCCGTATGGCTCAGAAATCTTGGCGATTGGATCACGCAACTCCTATCTACAGTTCAGATTGGAAGACGAGGCTGGATCACGATTGGTCTGGGTGCCGCGAGTACTTGGTGATTTGGTTTTGTTTGTGGAGCAGAAGGATCCAAAGCCAACAGATGCTGATCAAGGTCCTTCCAGTTTGTCTGCTGAGGCTGCCATTTGTGAGCAGACCAACCAGATCAATCGATTTCAGCAGTGGTGGGCAGATGGTCACGGTGAAGCAGCAGCTGTGGGCCACTCCATATTGTCACTAGTTGACCGGTCTGTTCTGCAAGAAGTGGTGTCAGCCGGCGCAAACTACCACAACTGTTTGAGTGCGGACCGGTTAGATGGGTTGCAGAGATTGGTGACCCAGTCCCGGAAACCAGGCTTAGATGCTTTGCGTCGAGCTTTGCTGACCAAAGGGGGGGCCAAGAGCCAGGCCCGTGCAGTAGGCACCGTCCTCTTCAAGGAAGCCCTCGCAATTTTCACGGGCCCGAAGACGGAGAAGACAGGCCCGCTTGCAGACGACACAGGTAATCCATCTGTCGCTGACGCCACAATGCCCGAGCAGGGTTGTGTTGGCGAGAGTCAGCACGAGGTGATATTAGACGAGGTCTACCTTCCTCCCAGGCGATTTGTTTGTTCGGATGCCTTCCCGCAGGATGCCACTGTGGCAGTGCGAGCTGTTCCTGACTCTGCAGGGGATCTGTTGACCAGCTTGCCGTACGGGTCAGAAATCTTGGCGATTGGATCACGCAACTCCTATCTACAGTTCAGATTGGAAGACGAGGCTGGATCACGATTGGTCTGGGTGCCGCGAGTACTTGGTGATTTGGTTTTGTTTGTGGAGCAGAAGGATCCAAAGCCAATGGTTGCTGATCAAGGTCCTTCCAGTTTGTCTGCTGAGGCTGCCATTTGTGAGCAGACCAACCAGATCAATCGATTTCAGCAGTGGTGGGCAGATGGTCACGGTGAAGCAGCAGCTGCGGGCCACTCCATATTGTCACTAGTTGACCGGTCTGTTCTGCAAGAAGTGGTGTCAGCCGGCGCAAACTACCACAACTATCTGAGTGCGGACCGGTTAGATGGGTTACAGAGATTGGTGGACAAGTCCCGGAAACCAGGCTTAGATGCTTTGCGTCGAGCTTTGCTGACCAAAGGGGGGGCCAAGAGCCAGGCCCGTGCAGTAGGCACCGTCCTCTTCAAGGAAGCCCTCGCAATTTTCACGGGCCCGAAGACGGAGAAGACAGGCCCGCTTGCAGACGACACAGGTAATCCATCTGTCGCTGACGCCACAATGCCCGAGCAGGGTTGTGTTGGTGAGAGTCAGCACGAGTTTATATTAGACGAGGTCTACCTTCCTCCCAGGCGATTTGTTTGTTCGGATGCCTTCCCGCAGGATGCCACTGTGGCAGTGCGAGCTGTTCCTGACTCTGCAGGGGATCTGTTGACCAGCTTGCCGTACGGGTCAGAAATCTTGGCGATTGGATCACGCAACTCCTATCTACAGTTCAGATTGGAAGACGAGGCTGGATCACGATTGGTCTGGGTGCCGCGAGTACTTGGTGATTTGGTTTTGTTTGTGGAGCAGAAGGATCCAAAGCCAATGGTTGCTGATCAAGGTCCTTCCAGTTTGTCTGCTGAGGCTGCCATTTGTGAGCAGACCAACCAGATCAATCGATTTCAGCAGTGGTGGGCAGATGGTCACGGTGAAGCAGCAGCTGCGGGCCACTCCATATTGTCACTAGTTGACCGGTCTGTTCTGCAAGAAGTGGTGTCAGCCGGCGCAAACTACCACAACTATCTGAGTGCGGACCGGTTAGATGGGTTACAGAGATTGGTGGACAAGTCCCGGAAACCAGGCTTAGATGCTTTGCGTCGAGCTTTGCTGACCAAAGGGGGGGCCAAGAGCCAGGCCCGTGCAGTAGGCACCGTCCTCTTCAAGGAAGCCCTCGCAATTTTCACGGGCCCGAAGACGGAGAAGACAGGCCCGCTTGCAGACGACACAGGTAATACATCTGTCGCTGACGCCACAATGCCCGAGCAGGGTTGTGTTGGTGAGAGTCAGCACGAGGTGATATTAGACGAGGTCTACCATCCTCCCAGGCGATTTGTTTGCTCAGATGCGTTCCCCGCTGAAGCGACCGTGGCAGTGCGGTCTGGACCCACGCAGGAGAGTGAGTTGCTGACCTGCCTTCCCTTTGGCATAGAGCCTTGGCCGGACTGTAAATCCTTGACGATGCTCCAGGAACCAGCATTCTTCTACAACCTTGCTACTTGAGCTTGCCGATGGGTACTTGCTAGCAGAACCCCAAGAATTTTTGAGGCACCCTCGCTAGCAACAAACACTCCGCGCGGCTGCCCGTATTGTACTAGCCACCGAAGAATGTACTCCGAATCACATAAGGAGATCTTTGCGACCGGCCGTTCTGGCGACTTCCTTCAGTTTCAGCTCGAGGTGCCTCAGACGCCTCATGACTCAGGGTTTTCGGCTTTTGGGTTTCTAAGAGGTTTGAGGCCGGCGGGGGACTGTATCCTCCAGAAGGAGGCAGGGTGCCAAAGCCGTCGGATCAGGGCATAGTTGCAGGACTTCGACAGCCTCTTTGGAAAGGGCCCTTTTGTTAGTGTAGGTCAGGAGTCCAGGGGGACCGGGTCGAGCATACTTAGGGTGGCAACCCTAAACCCTAAACCCTAAACCCTAAACCCTAAACCCTAAACCCTAAACCCTAAACCCTAAACCCTAAACCCTAAACCCTAAACCCTAAACCCTAAACCCTAAACCCCTAAACCCAAATCTTGAGCCCTTCAGAAGCGATTCGGGTAAAAATTCCCACAGGAGCCTTCCAGACTCCTAGGCTTCTTGATTAGGGAGGCCTACAGCACTCTTTACATCCTGAGCCCAAGGTTTGTAGGTTTTTTGGTGGCATTTGGCCCGTTGAGAAAAGGTCCATAGTTGTTTGCGAGCCTGAGTGCGATCGACAGCGCCCGCCTACCGCAGCAGAAGTGAGAGAGTTATGGAAACTTTGGGGTTAAAGTTAGGGTTCGGAGTTGAGGGTAGGATTTGGGGGGGTTTACGGTTTAGGGGTTGAGGGCCTCCACAGCAGCACCACCAGGAGTGCCACGGTTGCTATGCCTATGTACCTCTGGTGTTCCAGGGCCATCAGCTTTTCGCTCCTCTGACTGCAGATTTATGTTGCTTGGTCAGGGCTTTGTCCGGGTCTGGGGGGTTCAACAAAGGCACGGAGGGATGCCTTGAGGCACGCGATGTTTCAAGGCTCACGGTTTGTACAGGCTTTGGTCCTTGAAAAATGGCCCCAAGCGATGAATGATGGGTGCAGACTCAAGTGGGAGGTTGACGACTGGCAACAGCGGATGTCAGCACCACAAAAAGCGCTTACTGCATCACGGGCGGAGGTACCCAAAGCCCCCGCGGCGCATGCAGTGCCGCCTGCAGCACCCGCTGAAGGCCCTGGGGCTAGGGATTTCTGCATCCGAGCTCGGGGATGTTCATGCAGCCTTTGAGGTCGCCAGACCACTTCAACGGCCTTTGGTTCTTATGCGTTGAAACCGTGACAGCTGCCACGCGCATCAATTCTGGTCTTTGTTGCCTGTGTGGTGCTTTGAGGTCGCCAAACTCACATGGTTCGTAGCTGGTATCCATCACCAAAGATTGGACACAGGTGATGAGCACTTCCGAACCCTGCAAAGCCTCAATGCGCAGGGGGCCGTGTTGCAGACCTGGAACGGCGCGTGGCTGTTCAGGAGCAGATCATCCAAGGGCTGCAGGCAAAGTTGAAAGTGGATGTGAGCATGCCTGGGTTGGACCTTGCAATGTCAACAGCTACTGCTTCCGCTTAGTTCCACGAATGCATGTGGTGGTATCTACCCGAGGCCTTTACTACAGAGATCGCCAGTGTCAGTTTCGTACGTCATAAACCCAAAATCTTCGGCTGGATCAGGCTGAGCTCTGCAGTTTGCGCGCTCACATGAGCGTTTGCCACCCAGACGGGATGAACAACCATGCACATGCTATGGGTTGCACATGGTTGTATCATGACGGTGTCATGGCCTACCCCTCTCCCCACACTGTCTGACCGCCGAGGCGATTGCGACAGCTTTTGGGGCTTTCTCCCCGAAGTTGTAGCTTTCTTGGCTTCGGAGGCGGAGGCTCACGCTTCCTTGCGGCTTGGGGGTTATGATTCGTGAATGGCACAGCATGCAGGGCTGGATGGGACACTTTTTCAGTGCCTGCAAAAGGATTCCCAACAAATGTGCCCTGAGCCAGGTCGACGCTGGCCTCAGCCTTGTTTCCGATCTGGTCGTAGAAGTGCTTTGTGGCCGCTCATCTGACCCCGAGCCAGTTCATCGTTCACTGGAGCTTTCCATCCATGCCCCCAGCAAGCCTTCAAAGGCGTCCATGACAGTTTAGCGCCCTTAGGTGCATCCTGTTAGTTGAGATGGCCTCAGATTCTAGCACACTGCCTCGCTCTAGCACCTGCCCTCAAGGTGTTGTGAACCACTCGGACGTTTTGTATGAGATTTACCTTGGGGTTACCCTGGCAGCAGAAATATTCGGGTTTGATGTTCTGGCTATGGCTTTGAGAGGGCCTGGCCTTGAAGGATCTGGGAATCTTGGGAACAAAGTTGGAGGACACCGGGGGGCACCTGCAGAAAAGGCAGTACAATTCGGGAATTGGGTGCACCATCTGCTCGATGCCAATTAGCTCACCCCGCGCTTCCGGAGCTGCGCGCGAGAAAAAAAGGGGGCGACTGAGCAGCCAGGGGATGCCATGATCATGGCATGAGCTGCTTCTCTTCAGGGTCTTGTGGGGGAACGTGATATGACCCTAAACTCTCACCTTGAACCTTCAGCCCTGAACCCGCACCTCAACGCCACGCGTTTTCGGCACAGAGGGCAGAGGGGAACCCGGCAGAGAAACCGGGGGTGAAAGGGCGCGGCACACGCGCAGCGGCCCAGGTGCCCCCGGGATGCTTAGTGAGGGTTTTAGGGTTCCAAGGCTTCTCCTCAGGAAGTTCAGTCGGGAAGTCCAGAAGGGCACAGGATGTGAAGACGTCGGATGGCAAGGTTGAACTCTTTCTTGTTTAGGCCAAGGCTGGAGCTTCACCCTTTTGAGCACCGCTATTCCCCAACTGGCTGTTTGAGTCCTCAGCTTTCCCGCGCACTCTCTCTCAACATATTTCAGCCCTGAAACCAGGCCTCCGCTTGTTCGCGTGTAAGGGGTTCCGAACTGCAAGTCCTGTCTAGGGGATTCCTTCGTGTCGTGCGGCAAGAGGAACAAGCGTAGGACCATGCCATCCCATCCAACATTTACAGGGCCCTAATTCCTGGCTTGTGCTTGTCGTGTGGCGAGGGTTTAGGGTTTAGGGTTTCTGCTGGGCACGTTGCAAGCCAAATGCCGTCTGCTGCCGAGGCGGGCGTAGTAAACCCCCATGAATCCGATGATGGGAGCCGGAGCCTGAGCTTTGTGTTGCACGCACCTTCATCTGACGCGTTTAGGGAAGGCCTTTTCCAACCTTGTCCTGAAGTCATGGGCTATTCAGATCATGTAGGCTTAGATAGATCAGGGATGCTCTGTATATCGGACATGCAGGACACAAAGTTGCGCGGAGGTTGCAGATACTCATGTGTTTCCATCAGCCTGACCCTGAACCCAGGGTTACAGGCCCAGGGCTTGGGACGTGGAAGGGTGATGTTGTGTTCTATCCGAGAGGTGCTCGTCGCTGGGTGATTGTCGAAATCCTAAACCCCAAACCTTAAATCGCTTGAAGCTTCTGGGTGGCCACATGAGACATCCCAAGAGCTTGAGCCAGCATTCCCCAAAATGTCCCCAAGACGTCCCAAGTTCTTGAGTTCTGAACGGGATGATTGGGCGAGTGTCAGGGAGGCTCACTGGCTGAGATCGTGGTCCCTACCGAAAGTACCTGTTGCGCAGACTGTTGGGGTCGGCTGGACATTGCTGGTTGCTGAATTTTCATTGCTGAGGGGGTTGCCAATCACGAATCGTACTGAGAATTAGTTTTTTTACACGTACGTGTAAACTGAGAATTAGTTTTTTTACACGTACGTGTAAAAAAACTAATTCTCGAACTGGCTGAGATCGTGGTCCCTACCGAAAGTACCTGTTGCGCAGACTGTTGGGGTCGGCTGGACATTGCTGGTTGCTGAATTTTCATTGCTGAGGGGGTTGCCAATCACGAATCGTGGGGCTTGGTCGCCCGAACCCTGAGGCCTTACAGACCCGAACCTGCGGTTTCTGCTAAGGGCGGTGGAATGGGCTGCGGCGGCTGCGGCGGCTGTGGGGGCTGTGGCTGTGGAGGCGGGACAGTCTTGATGTCAACGACTTCGGCCATGCCGGACAGAAGTTGCATTTGTCGTAGTTTGTTTCGGGCGTGTGTGAAGAGCACATTCTCGGTTCTAGCATGTTCAGTGCGTGATGGTTGTCTTACAGGAACTCTCGCCCCACTCTAACCGCGCAATTCGGTTGGAGTTTTGTTCTCTGTTGAATTCGCAGAGCCTCCGTTTCCGGTGCTCTTGTGGTTTGTACTGGCAGCCCTTCTGCCAGGTGCCTGCGGCATGCCAGCCATGAAGATGGGCCCGCGGCCCAGAGAATCACACGCAAAAGGGGAGTCGTTTCTCAGGGTTTTAGGAGGTGTCCATCGCTGAGACACTTCTTTACCCCAAGAGCATGGCCCACTCTTTCATAATCCTGCTGCAGGTGGTGGATGTGGTGGATGCGGGGGAGGCTGCGGAATGGGGTGTGGATGTGGCGGCTGTGGAGGAGGCTGTGGTGGCTGTGGAGGTGGATGTGGTGGCGGCATGCCTGGCTGTGGCGGGGGCATGCCCGGCTGCGGTGGTGCTTGTGGCGCCAACATGCGACTTGCCTACATTCAAGTCGAGCAGCGGCAAACCAGTGCCAATGGTATTGCAAGCCTCGAGTTGTTCATGGTCGCAGTCGGGAAAAGGCGTCGTATCTTAAGAAGTAGCTGAACTCGAAATGGGTTGCTGCAGCTCCAAACAGCCCAGGGGCATGATGCAGCCCAACGCCATGATGCAGCAGCAGGAGCACCCAAATCACTGAAAGTGAGTTTTGTGATCGTTCCGGACCTAGGCCAGGGTCGTCGGCTTGAGGGGTAGGCTCTCTCATCCGTTGCGGTGTCGTGGCAGACACAAACCACTAGAGCCGGGCCTAGAGTGCGAAGCCAAAAACTTTAGGGGTTTCGGGGTCCTGTAGTCGCGAGTGCTGGATCTTGGATTCTGGCGAAGGTAGTGCTTTGTTTCGTGGTATTAGAACTCAGGAGGGCTGTTCGGCCGCCACGGCACCCGGCAGAGCTCGCGGGGTTAAGAAGGGTTTAGGGCGTTCCAGCACAGGGCTGTGAAAGATCAGCCTCGTCCCTCGACACCTCCAGCCGTTCGGACAGATGGCGCAGATGTCCTCCATGATGATGCCCATGATGACCATGGTTGCCATCTCAGGAAGGTGATAAGGTGTTCAGGGCTGAGGGCTGCTTCATGCCCAGAGTCTGACCGACGGGTCTTTGCAGCTCGAAGTTGGGGGGGGGGGGATCTGCTGCTCAGCGCATTCCTTTCTGCCATCGGGGTTCTTCTTCCGACTATGAGTGGGATCAGCGGCCGCTCGATTATATTCTTGAGGGAGGTTTTTGAGGGGTGAGGTTTAGGGATGGCAGTGTTCGAAGAGACCTGGATGCAAAAAGAAGGTTTAGGGATGCAACTTTCCACCAGAAACCTGAGCCGTAAACTTTCCCGAAGCCCCCACAGAGGTTAAATCCTAAAGCCAGAACTCAGCATCGGCTGAGGGCGGTGGCGGCGGCATGGGCGACATGGCATCGGTCCTTCCCTGAGCTGGTAGAGTTTCTGACACACATGTGCCCTTACGTTCTAGGGTTTAGGGCAAGAAAAGGGTTTCTTGTTTAGGGGCCCAGAGCCCTGAACTAAGCTGCGGGTTGTGGACAAGTTGGCTTAGCAAGCTTCTATTCTTTAGGTTGACACTGTTTTGTTTTGAACCTCAAGGTCTTTGGTGTTGGTGTCGCTGGGTTAAGGAGTGTGGCATGGTGAATGAAGCCTGCTTTTGTTCTGCAGGGAAAACCACAAGAGGCCCGAAGAGTCAGGCTGGAATAAGATTTAACCCAAATCCCCGGCCTCAGATGATGAAGAAGATGCAAGATATGCCGGGTGCCCAGAGTCACATTCGTGGTTTTGGGGTCGAGGGCGGAGGAGCGGAAATGCCGCCGAGGGTTGTTCAAAGTTGGGGTTGGGGCTTCGCAAAGCACGATTTTGGGGTCAAGGGTTGTGCTGGGTCCCACTGAACGAAACTGGCTATCTTGTTGTCGAGCCCGTTGCAGAACACGCGTGTAGTGGCACAGTTCCCGTGGGGTTTGGTGGGCTCGGTTAAGGCGCACGCAGCCATTTTTGTGCCAGATTGTTTCTCTTTTGCGACGGCCTCAGATGAAGAAGATGGCATGGATCACAAGTCCTAGCGGGTTGTTCCCGCGTCGTGGCGTCGTTTCGTTTGTTTCGCGTTGCTGTTGCTGTCTTTCGTCCTTGTTGTTGTTTCGCTGCGTTGTTGGAGCTGGCTCCTTAAGCCTTGCGATGGAGGGGCCGCCCTGTTGTTAGGCCAGGCTCGTGCCTTGGTCGATCTTCACCTCACCTCGCCTCACCTCACACGCATAAAGTTCACAGCTGGATGTGTGTAATGTTGCATGTCCAGTTGTCAGCCGTGCCAGGAACGATTTGCTTTCAGGTGGCATTGCCGTGAGTCCGGTGGACCTTCGAATCTGCCTGCCTATCCACCCCCCGTGGGTGGAAAGGGCACCTTGTGTAGATTGGCGTGCGCCCATCCATCGGCGCTTTTGAGTGGGGATCGGGTTGTGGGTCTGTCACCTCTCCATAAACCCCGAAAAAACCCAAAACCCTAAACCCGAAGCCCTAAACTACAAAGTCCAGGATGGGCATGGGCTCGAAAAGCAGCAAAGCAGACAAAGGAACCAAGAAGAAGTCGAAGGAGCGGGCTGGGGGTTCAGGGCTTAGGGTTTAGGGTATGGGGTATATAGAATAGGATAGAATAGGGTTTAGGGAGAGAGACCTGGAGAAAAAAGGTTCAAGGAATGCAGGTATTCACATCTACGGCGTAGCCTGCATATATATATAGGGGTTCGGGTTTAGGGTACTTCGTTGCTCCAGGCTTTCTTTTGTTTCCTGACACGCTGATCTTTTCGTTTGACAATGAGCGTGGCTATGATTGCGATAGTGGTTCCTGGCATGTTACAGAGTGTGCCGTTGGTGTCGTTCTGAGCTTGTCCCCTCACTGAAAGGACAACGCCAACGTCGTCTTCGTGGGCGGCGGGGGCCTTGATTGACGTGCACGAAGCGTTGTTCAGCCCATCGCCGGGGAAGTTCCGCAGCCTAAGCCGGAGACTGTACACACATGTCTACACATACACAAATGTGCGTGCATGCAAAGATATGTGCTATGCGCATGCGTTTCATGTGGGCCTGCGTCGAGAGGATCTGGGCTTAAGTTTCCAAGCCTCCTGCAACTTGAATGGGTTGCGGAGCGTGGGGCGCCTAACCTTAAGTAGGTGTCTTTCACCCTCATTGAAGCCTGTTGAGGAGAAGTGTTGGAACCCAAAGCGAAACACCAGCTTCGAAGAAACTCTGAGCCCCAACTTCCTGGAATGATCGACTTGCTACCTGGACCCTTTGTGTGGTGCCGCTGACCTCAGCCGGGTGGCAAGATTTTGCAGGAACAGGCGACCGGCTTAGACCCCAAACATGAAACCCACTCGAAAGCCCCCACGCTGAGGCCTGCGAAAAACCACCGAGGAGGACAGAGTGGCCGCCCACTTCGCAAAGTTCGGGCAGGCGCCTGGCCTCCAGCGGTTGAGGGTTCAGGATTAGGGTTGGACTAGGGTTTGGGGAGAGACGGGTTTGGGGTTTAGCGGTCTGTGCGCTTCAAGGTCATTGAGGTCGCCAGCGGAGCAGTCTGTGTACGTGTTGAAACCTGGGACCTTGAGGTTGAAGGTGGCTGTGATCTGTTTCCCTGGAAGGTCGAGCATGTGGACATCAAGCGGCTTCCGGACGGCACGTCGCGAGGTTTCGCTTTCATCAAGCCAGAAGCTCGGAGTTCTGCAGTTCGCGTCTTCTATCACTGTCGCCGCACTCTTCAACCAGAGCACCAAGCTAGCCCGCAACCTGCTCATGCACAGGTTCGCAGATACAGAGGCCGTGGACAAGGTGATCGAGGTGCTCTTGGGCATTTGGCTAGGTTTGGTTTTCGAAAAGATTGAGCTGAACCCCGAGGCTTGTGTTCAGTTCATTTGGGAGGGAACGAGGGGTGCTTGCGTGATGCAACGGTGCAGACCGCAGGGGACCCAGCCGCCTTCCTGCCAGGCACATGCAAAGCACATGATCGACAACAAGACGCTTATCTGAAGATGACTAGTGTGTCAGGTATTGGTCTAAGGGAAAGCTTGGAATGAATGTGTCCAGGTGGAGGCTGTGTAGTTTGTTGTGGTGTCAGGTTGAGGGATTGGGGCTGGAAGCCAAAGACCTGGCCTAAGCTCCGGTTTCACGGCCTCAAGAGCCCCGAAGTAAAAGCTTTGAACCCCGAAGCCCAAGAGCGCCCAAGCCCAGAATGATCAACAACACCACAAGCCCATCGGAAATCATGCAGCAGTAAGCAACGCAGCAGTAGCACCAAAGCCCTGGAGTTGAACGGTCAGAACTGTCGCACAGTACTGAGCAATATGTCCAGCTGGTGAGCCCTCCGAGGTGGGTCGAGGTGAAGAAGCATGATGGTGTAGCAGCATCAGCTCGCTTCCCAGAGTCTTCTTTTCCGGGCTTAGAGTTGAGGGGTTGAGGGTTCGGGGGTTTCGGGTTTCGTCGCTTGTGCTTTGTGGTTGCTGGATGACAGTTGTCTTGCAAGAGTGGTTTTGGGAGTCAGAATTCTTTGCCAAGCATCGCTTCCGGCCTTCAGGCTGGAATGACTGAGTCCATGATGCCCAAGAAGAAGGCATCCCGGCGTTGGGGAGAGGCTTTGGCGCTGTCGGGTTAGGAGATTAGGGTTTAGATCCTCATCAAGCTTGTGTTGTGGCAGCGTGAGCGCTGGCTGCAGATGACCCCAGAACTTGAGAGGCCTTGCTTACAGATCCGCAAAACTCCCAAAGAACTTCCTTGCCACTCAGGCCCTCAACCCCTTCTCCCGAGCCATTCAGAACCTCCAAGCTTAGAGGCCTACCTCAATTCAGAAGGTGCGTAGAGAGACGCTTACATGAAAGCATCGTCATGAAGTCTTCGAGAGCTTGAGGCACGAGGTTTCGTGCAAAGCCCAGTTAGCCCTGAAACATCACCCTAAACCCTAAACCGTAAACCCTACCCTAAACCCTAAACCCTAAACCCTAAACCCTAAACCCTAAACCCTAAACCCTAAACCCTAAACCCTAAACCCTAAACCCTAAACCCTAAACCCTAAACCCTAAACCCTAAACCCCTAAAGCCCTGGAATCCCGAAAAGCCTGAAGCCCTCGCATCGGAACGGCTGCTTTGCGCAATGGCACGTCGTCGGGTGCATGGCGCTGGCCATCGAGGAGCTGACTCAGGCCGCAGAAAGGAGTGCACCTCAGAAGTCGGGCTGATTTGAAGGTGCTCGGGTGTGGCTGGGTGTCCTTTCCAGTTCGAGCTGAACTGAGTGGGGGAATGTGGCCATGACTGGCTTTAGGAGTTTCGCTAGATTTGCTGCCTCCCTTTTGACCAATGTTTCGGCCCTGTGCAGTGGAGGTTGTGTGAGCTGAAGCGGCCCTCAGAGAGCTGATGAGAGCAGAGCTTTCAGCCCTCACATGGCCTCGGTATGGTTTAGGGTTTCAAGGGTTTAGGGTTTCAAGGGTTTAGGGTTTAGGGTTACAGGGTTTAGGGTTTAGGGTTTGCAAAAAAGGGTTACAGGGCTCCTAAGCCAAGCCCAAAGGCCGGCGCCACAAACAGAAGTCGGAGACGCAGGTGCTGCACTCACCGGAAGACCTCCACGAGCTGCTCGTCCGAAGCCTCCAAGCCTCGGAGGCACCTTCCAGTCGCTGGGGAGTTGCTGTGGTTGCAAGTTGAAAGCAGACGTTTGTAAGGAGTTTGTTTGATTTTGTTTGCGTCCATGTTTGTCTGTGCTTGCTGGCTTGCTTGCTGGCTTGCTGGCTTGCTGGCTTGCTGGCTTGTGTGAGTGTGTGTTCATGCGCAGTGGCGTGCTGGGCCCCTAAGCTCAATGCTCGACACCATCGCAGTTGTGAGGGCTCAGCAATTGAAAGTGTACAGTGTACAGGTGATAGAAGTAAGTGCCATGGGCCTTCATCTCATGCAGCACAGCTGTCTTGACCACGTACCTCCACGTGACGGAAGTGATGATGGAAAGCCAACACTCGCAGAACTGAACCGGCGCTCGGGCGAAGTGCTGCAGAGATTCACGGGCTACGACGTGAGCGCACTTCGGAGCCGCTGTCAGTACAGCAAGCTTCTCCACTTGCCTCGGGCTACGCGAGCCAGGACTGTAGGGCGAACAGTGCCCAAGGACTGCGAAGTTGGTGCCCACGGTGCCAGGACAGCGAAGGAGCTGAGAAAGCTCTCCTTCCCACATGCCAAAGCAGAAGCCCTGCTGGCAAAGCAGAATGCAAGACAGCGACGTATTAACGTGGCACACAAGAAAGGCCTGCGCAGAAAGACGTTTCGTTGTGGCAAGGGCAAAGGAGGGTGCCAGCTAGATATGGACTGTCGGTATGACAGTGTCTACGATCCTGATTTGGGTTTAGAGGATTTAGGGTTCGATGGATACCGCCGCGGTGGATACCGCCAGCAGAATCCCCAGCCAAAGGTACCAATTGCAAATTTTGCAAGGTCTTGGACTCAACATCCAGTCCTTCCACACCGCCAACGCTTCGAGCGCTGGTATCGCGCCGTAGAACTTGCAGAGGAGACCGCCCGACATTTCAGACCTCTGCGAGACAATTCTGGTTTCCAGGCCTTGCTTGACGAGGCGCTTCAGCGATTATCCTCTGAGGATGCTTTCGATGCTCTCCGCATCCGGTTCCTGCACAGGCATGGGGGGAACGTACTGCGGAGCTTGAAGCAGGGAGGGGGCGTGAAAATTCAACGTCTGTTACCAGCACCGCTGTCCGGCCATGCTCGCAGCCGATTTCTGCAAACCTACTGCGGTGGAAAAGGTGGCGCCCTGCGGCCAACGCTCCATGGCACCAATGTCAACAACCATGCATCCATATTTGAGCGTGGCTTGCTCATCCCTGATCCAGCCACAAACGGGCTGACAGTAGTCCATGGATCTGCACATGGTCTTGGGGTCTACAGCGCTTCTGTGAGCAACCCTTGTTTGGCTCTTGGCTTCGTTCAAGGGCACGGCCAGGCTGCAGTGCTGGTGTGTGGCGTGGTGGATGACACAAGCTGCCTGGCCATGCCGCAGCAGTACTGTGGCAGGATGTGCAGGCGAGAGTCCAGCAACATTCGGGTGGTTGACGACGCAGTGATCGCATTGACGTCCGACCGCATTGCTCCACTCTTCAAGGTTGACTACGTGCAGCGGACTCGCCAGTCTGCCGCGCCTGTTGCGAAGAAGGCAGGCAGTCATCCGAGGCCGCAGCCGAAGCGCAAGACATGCAACATATACACATGCAACATATTTCAGTCTGCTGGGGAGCTGGAGTTCTTCAAGTGTCCTTGGCAACTCTTGCTGCGCAAGCCCTTTTCGCGCATCTCGCCGGGCGCGCTGCGGCGCGCGAAGATGGAGTGGGCCTCCCTAAAGCACCATAGTTCCAAATGGCTTAAGGCGCATGGCTATTGGAACGCTGCCGCCGCCAAGGCCTTCTGACACTTCCTCGAGTAGGACAAGAGATGGGCCTGCCTTGTTCTGTCTGGGCACAGATGGACAATTTCGTGGAGAGGGGGGGTGAGAGTTACCGAACCTCCGGTCTTAATCAGAATTTTGCCTTGAGGGATCTTGAGGGTCCTCCCTGGGCGACTTGTACAGGAAGGCTTGTGCAGATCAGCGCACCGCGCTTCTCTTCACCATCCGGATGTTTCGCGGCCGGTGGTTTGCATTGCAAAACGTTTCGCTGAGCTCCGGTCCTGTGCCAGAACTGGGGGTTGGAACATGCTGCCCTTGCAGGGACCTGTGCTTAAAGAGAACCGCTTTTAAAGCGGTTAATGTAGGCTGTCACGCGGGCCATGCGCTGGTAGTGTTTCTCGTTAGCGGAGAAGCCGTCACTTCGTGTCTCCAGAACTATAAGCCTGGACACGTCGTGTGCAGGCTCGTGTCCAGAGCCTGGCCGCCGAGAATGCAGAGCTCACTCAGGCACTCTCCGGTTCCGCACCGCGGTTGTGTGAGTATTGCGATGTATTGCGTGCGCGCAGCTGTGCTGAATGTTGATGGTTGCAGCTCATGAGTCGCGATCCACGACCGAGGTGCCGCAGGTGAGACTCTGTATCACGCGCATCATCGTTGCACCGTTGGTGAGACCAACGCGTTCAACTTTCAAATTTGCAACCCCTAAAACCTCCTGCAACCATCACCAACCATCACCTTGCGAGTCGAATCCGGCAAGGCCCACTTGGAGTCATTGCAGAGCAGCGAGGCCATGGGGACCGCAAAGGGGCTCAGGGCTCTCTGGGCCCTCGGACTTTTGCTTTCGGGAGTACCCTGAAGCATTCTGGAACCACTGGCTAAGTTCCTCCACCAAACCGAACCAGAGGCCCGAAACCCTCACGTCTTTTTTTTGCTGAGTGGTTCGTCCAGCTATACGCCGCACGCAGGAGAGCTCCGCTGCCCTCACCTTTCGCCAGGAACTGGAAAGACAGAAGGCAACCCCGGAATTCGGGGAGCTTAGTTTCAAGGCGCTCCGGTAACGTTTAGGGTTTCTGTTGGGCCTGATCGAGTCGGGTTCCTAGGGCATTAGAAGATCCCTTGCATCGTGTTCAACCCTAAAACTCTAAGCCCTCAGCATCTTGCTTGCGTGCAAGCGACAGTCGAAACCCTGCAGCCACAAAACACAAAATACCCTAAAACTTCCTAAAACCCTAAACGTTAAATACACCCTGCAATCCTAAACATGAAACGGAGCCCTAATCCCCACACCTTCGAAGCTATGCGCGCCTCGTGCGAGAGTGACGAAACCCTACAGTCCATCCTGGAGAGGCTCCTGCTGAGTGAGAGCCCCAACCCCCCCCCCCCCAAACCATTCGGTTTAGGGTTTAGGGCTTAGGGTTTAGGGTTTAGGGTTTAGGGTTTAGGAAACAGCCCTAAGATGCCCCTTCAGTGCCACAAGATGAACCCCTGCAAAAGGAGGCCCCGGAGCCCCTGAAAACCTCGAAAAAGCCCTGAGAAGAAAAGAGTGGAGAGGCCCTGGAGGATGCGGAGGTCCGGGCTGTTCAGAGTGCCCCTCGTCCTTAGGGCGGCCTAGGGATTTAGGGTGTAGGGATGTAGGGTTTAGGGATTTAGGGTTCAGGGATTTAGGGTTTAGGGTTTTTGCCTGTGAGAGAGAGAGAGAGAGAGAGGGTTTTTGGTGCTACATTGCTTCCACCGCTCTTTCCTTTTACACCGACGGACTCGCTAGAGCGCGCCCCTTGGGGCGGCCTTCCCTCGGGAAGGTCATGTGCTGTGGAAGGAAGGAAGAGAGGGTTTTGCCAGGTTGAGTCGCTGCAAGACCAGATGCAAAAGGGTTTAGGGTTTCTGGGCACCCAAGAAAGGGAGCATAGTTGAGAGACCGGGCCATATTGCAGAGGCCAGGGTGGTATGCCTGGGGATTGCCCCCCCAAACCGGAGGCGCTGAACCCTAATATGCAATCGAGTCATGACCCTCTACTCGGCACTTACATGTTCTGGCCGACTGCGTCTGTTCTTGAGCCAGATTCTGGAAGTATTCCGGACAAGGAATTTTCCGAAGCATGCCCGTGCTCGATGTTTCGCATGAGGAGCTCGAGTGGTCCTTTCGCTGCATCAAAGCCCTGGAGAGCTTGCACCAATCCTTCGGCGAGCCGAAGGCCGAGACGGAGTCGGTGAGAGTTGCAAAAGTAGGCGAGGTCGAGCTGGGCAGTAAGGGCAGCAGAGTCCCTTGTGAAGAAGGCGAGGGAAAGCAAATGGGTCCCTGAACCCAGGGCTGAAAGTTTACGACTTCGACTCCACGCGAAGCTTCGCGCCTTTGTGGTGCTGTGTTGGGTGGCTGGCATACTCTGGTGTTAGAGTTCGGGCCCAGGCGACTCCTTCGCAACGACGACTGGAGGAAGAGGAGGCGAGCCTCCAGACGCCTGGCTTGTTTGGAGGTTCTACGCACCTCGGGCTTGAGGGAGCAAGGGCGCTGTCATGGGAGTTGAGTGCTGTTGGTCTTGTGGTGAGGGGAACCTAAACGGCCCTGAACCTAGGATGGAGCTGGAAGCTGCGAGAGGCATTGGGGAGGGAGGGAAAGCTGACGATGGACAGGGGTTAGGGTAACGGGGAACTCTTTTGGCCAGATTCATTCTGATCTCTTATGTCAAGGTAAAAAGTTGTTTCTTTTTCGAATCTGTTCCACAGGCTTAAGGTTGCGTCTGAATTGCAGCCTTAAACCGTGTTGCCAGACCCCTCCATCATCATGACGGCGTGTACACCAAGTCTATGCCCGGAGCGCGCCAAGTCAGATACATGCAGCACTACTGTACCTGTTTTTCTCTTTCCAGGCACGGTTCGCACGCTCCGTGCCCAGTGGGTGTCCACGCGATGGGCCGCCCTCGCCCATGCGAAGGGCGATGTGGAAAGGCGTGCGGGCGAGGTGCCCACGTAACTTTGGGGGTTGTTCAGGGTGTTCATTCTTGGATGCAGTCTGATGCACTCTGAAGCAGTCTGTATCCCCATTTGGTGGTTACCCTTAACCCAAAGGCCCCTCAAGCCTCACTCCGAACTAGCAGCCTGGACAGGAGGAGGCCGCAGCCGAAGTCGTGCGCTTGGTGGAGAGGCTCTGGGAATTCTGAGGTTTCAGGGTGACTTTAGGTTTGGGGGCTCTTAGCTTAGGGTGGGTGTAGGCTCAATGCATGATGCCCCTATCCCCGCGTGTTTTTGTGCTCCCTGTGAGGCTGCGCGCAGGCATTCAGGAGACGAAGGTCCGAGGGGGCTTTGAGTCCACCTTCCCAAAAAAATTTGTGATCCCTTGGCTCGTCATCGGTTTCTTCCGGCGGTTGCACCTCGTAGGGTTCGTGGTTGTAGGGCTTTTGCACGGCGCAGCATCCGCACGATGGCTCACTTGCGATCGCTCCGTGCAGTCTCGCCAAGACATGACTCAAGGTGAATGACCGATCAGTGCCCGAACCCACGTGTCAATCCAATTTCCAAAGGCTCGGTGAAGCCCTGAGTGCTTGGGGGGGATGTCAACACTTAGTCGCAAACAGAACTCGCCTGATGCAGGTTGCGCTCAGTCGTGCACAGAAGGCGACAATGCCGCGGCGGACGGAGTACGAGGCGGGTGCATCACCCTGCCCCAAACAAGTCGGAACTCGGCCGAGCAGCTTACAGTGGGTTTATGGATCGGCCTTTTGTGTGGACTGGGGAGGAGAGAGAGAGAGAGAGAGAGAGAGAGAGAGAGAGAGAGAGAGCCTGGGGCTGCTAAGACAGGGGAGGAGGTGGCTGGGGACGGTGGTAAGGACCAGCAGCTGGGCACTCCAGTCCATGGCAGAAGCTAGGGCACCGCAAGCTGAACAGGAGCTGCTCATAGCAGCAAGCTACCCGACGCACCCGCAAGCAAGCCACCACCTACAACAAGCACAACACCATATGGAAGCGTGCCTGGGGGGGGAGGCGAGTGCCCTGGCAACACAACACAACCGGGGGGCGGAAGGGGGGGAGGTGCATCCGGCCGATGCCCTGGCGCTAGCAGCGGGGGGAGAAGAAGCACCACCGGGGCCAAATCCTGAAAACCAGCTCCAGCCAGCGGGCCACCCCATTGTGCGAGCGCGTCACATCCTCCAGAGACTGATGCCGTTCACGGGGGGAGAAGTACAAGAGCAACTCGAAGCGGCGCTACAAGCACTCAATGAGTGGTGCCACAACCTCTGGGGGGCTGACCTCTTGGCCATCGAAGACACGCCAGAACCACCACAACAGCCAACACCACCGGCGTGGCCACCACAGCAGCCACAACCACCACAACAACAACCACCACCACAAAACACGGAGCCACCACCACCGCCACCGCGCACGGGAGGAGAAGCCAGGAGAAGGAGAGGTGGAAGTGAAGGGGCTGCACGGGCGGGAGCTAAGCCCCCGGCTCAAGTGAATCTTTTTCTTGTTGTGTGTTGCTTGGGGGGCCACAGTGTCCTCGCTTCTTTCTCTGTAGCTCTGTAGCTGCTTGCCATGGTTGCAAAACTCCAAATGCATTTCTCTCGATTGTACACATGGAGAATGGCTGTGAGTTTATTTTTGCTCTATGTTACCTTGGCTTATGCGGCTCCAGGGAAGACAGCAGTGGGGGACAACCCGGGTAGGCGGACACCGCACCCGGGAGGACAGAACAATGTGCCGAACATTTTCAGTACTCCCGTCCTAGAACAGCTTGCGGCACCCATCCCGCTGATCTGCCCGGGAGACACACCTACGGCACCAACATCACACACTTGCCGCGATGCTACGGTACCAGACACACAGACTTCCACCGAACATGCCCCGCCCACGCAGACTGCACCTATGGTCACTTTTCATGTTCAAGGGGCGCTACATGCCTTGACAGCAATATGCTGGATCCACTTTTCCGGTGAGGGGCGAACACTGTCGGAGCAAGATTTCCATTCTGCACTTAGGAACACTGCACGGCAAATACCGGCGTACACTGTCCTGTCCACGATCCATGCGGTGCTGACACAACGGGGAGGGACGGATCGAGCAGAAGCCTTAGCCCAGTTCATGGAGCACATCGCCACAATACTGCAATCGGATCAACTGCCGGAGAACGCGACCAGGCGGGACGAGCTTACGGAATGCAGTAGCTGTTGGGCCGCTCTACATTTGTGCTGTTACCCACTGTGGCTGCAGGATCTCGCAAAATCCCTGAGCGCTGAGGAGAGCGATACTGGCCTATATGATGGAGTTGCACACATGGATGTCGCTGTACGGGAGACACATAGCATTGACATGAAGGGTCGCTTTTTCAGACAGCAAAAACCCAAGCCCTTGCTGCGTGCTTGCATGACAATCTCCCTCTTGTGGCATCGAGCTTTGTCTTCACCCCATGCACATCCGCCAGCCTTTCTCGAATCATGCGTCGTTTCTGAACCATACATGGGAGCGGGTCGTTACTCGCCATGGAACAGGCCGGGGTCAGCGGACACCGCTACTCTGCTTGCAGTGTGTAATGAATCCCAGACTGAGTTCATGTATGCTCACAGCTGCAAGCGTTTCCTGCACCGGAGGCAGCCGAGAACTGCGACCGATACTAAGTGCCGAAAGAGCATGCTGATTGGTTATTCGCATTGGCATTTGCATGGAAGTCTCCTGTACCCAGATGTCGCAGGTACTACACCGCCAAGGCTCACACCCGCGACGAACACCACTGCAGGACCGCTGAGAGCTGCCGACATACACGCCAGTATTTGAGTCAGACTTGCGCTCTGCTTCTGTCTAACCACCCATTTGCCCAGTCCGCACCCGCGTGCACAGCTACTCAATACAATCCGTTTCGAAGCTCTGGTTCAAAAGAGCGCTATTGTGTGTTGTGCCACCTCGGCCACTCTTGGCTACAGGGGAATCCCCCACCATGGCAGAGGAGGACGAAAGCAGCCCCGAGGGGGCGCATGAGTCAATCGATGAGGAGGACGATGACGCCGACGGCACCATGCGGGAGATCATGGAGACACCTACCTCGCGGAGATCTCGGACACGGACTAGGTCCCCTGTGGCGGAACGATCTTCCTCAGCAAAGGCCAGCGGCAGTGCTGCCAAGGCAAGCGGAGTGGGAGGCACTACCAACGACTCCAGCATGGGAGCAAAGGCCAAAACCTCGGCGACTGGCGCGGAGACGACAACGAGTGGGCCGGCAGTGCTGCCAAAGACAATGGGGGCTGCACCGTGCATGCCGGCCGGGCCTCCGCCTCCTACACCACACAACCCACCTGGGATGGGCGGAGGAGGCCGACCGCCGCTGGGAGCAGGCGGACCGCCGCCACCTACCCCGGCCAAGGGAGCCTGTGGGGTGCTGCAACAGGGGATCTACACCGTGGTCTGGGACCCCAACACCAACGTCACCTGGATGTCCCTCGATGCCTTCCCAAAAGGCAGTTTGCCGCATCAGGTTATGGTGCCACCGCCAACTCCTCCGACACAGGGTGGGCCAAGCAGGCCAGGCGATGCAAGCACTCCAGCTGCGTGGGACTGACCAGCATGGGCCGATGCTCCTTACTCCTTGCTTTCCTGTACCGTGCCAGCTGGAGCCAAGAGAGCGACAGTGGGCTGCCTCACAGGGATTGAGCACCTCCGTGTCAAAACAAGTCAACAGATTGCAGATCAGTCTCACGACACTTTGCTATACCATGCAACTACACACTCGCCAGTGCGCGCGCAGGAAGATATCAAATCATCAGTCCCGACCTTGGTGGCCGCCGCCATACACAGAGACAGTCATTGCGGCTGTACCTCAGTGTGCACCCTTGATTACTCAGGCTGGGGATGTGCGGCCCACCGCGCCCCGGAGCCGGACTCCACGATGGATAAGAACAGGCACGCCACGCCTGCTCACATGTGTGCCCAGTTGCCTGCCAGAGATCGCAATTCTCCAAGTTCAGACAGCATACCACCGGACCCTCTGCAGATTCTACTCAAGCCGGCCCATCCCTGTGATAGCTTCACGCGTGTCAATGGGGAAATCGCCTGCTGCAAAGGCACGTTCAGCGACGAGGCCACCTACGAGGTTTCGCAGCCCGGCACGGACACCTGCCTGGGAATACCCCGAGCCGATCGAGGAGTGGCAGCCGCTGCCATATGAGGAGCTCCGACAATGGTACCAAAACCACTGGAATCGGCGACAGAACAGGACACCATGGAAGCCCCGCACACAGACCTCCTACGGCAAATCATCCAGCTCGAGCAGTACGTGGAGACGAGTGCCGCCTCAGCCACCCATGCCTAAGAGACGGGGGGCGGGCCACTACGAGAAGGACCTGGAGGGCGACGTAGGTCAGCCCGTTGGCAACCCGGACTCGGAGCCCAAGGTGGCAGATCCCCAACGAGCAGAGCCAGAAGCATCGTCATCCTCGACACCCGGGAGCAAGGAGGTTTCCGTGAAGGTGGACCCGGCACCAAGCAAGGAGATGGAGATGGGCGAAGAGGAGAGTGACCTTCTCGTGGACAAGATGATTCAACTTGCGAAGACTACGGCGACACGTTTTGGGGTCACCAGCGAACAGCTGCTGGATGCCATGCAGATGACCTGGCTCCCAGCACTGGAGCAAAAGCTTTGGCGGACTACGGAGACGTGCCTCTTGTGCTCACACAGTCCTGGCAACCTGCGGGAATGGCAGCGGCATTTGCTCACCAAATCCCACTCCCGGATCGCCAATGAGGCAAAGATGACGTGGTACCACCTCTACTTGGTCATGAGCATACACGATGATAGAATGCACCCCGGTCTCTCTATATCCATCGCTTTTGATGTAAGTGCATCTTTTAAAAAACGTTGTGTGTGCCGTGCACCCTCGCCCATATCACCATCAGGAGCCGCCGAACAGGGAAATCAGCATCGCACGCCAGTTCGAATGAGCCCAGCCTTGTGTCACAGAATGCAGCTCTGCTTTTCGAGCAGCTGGTTGAAGACCTTCATAAGGCGCAATGACGCCCAGTTTCGGGTATTGAATATGTGCATTGCCCTTACCCGATGCACCTATTGCAGCGGAGGGGGAGCAAGAGGGGGGCGTGCCCGCCGAATGCCTGAGGTACCTGGTACACCAGACCTCCCCACCGTACATCCGTTATCGATGCTGAACCCTGCGTGCTTGGATAAACAGCCTTGCCATAACCAAGGGGGGCCCAGAATGCACAATGACAACCATGACTTCCAGCCACGAGTAGCTCCTAGTCCTGACAGGTCTCGATGGAGAACGCACCGATGGAAAATACGGACATGGCATCGCAGGCCGAGGGCAAGCAGTCCCTTCTTGCCATTGCTTATGTGCTTTTGGTCCCATACCTGTCGATGGATGCATTCCCATGGCTCACTCGTGAGGTCATTATGCTCACACGCCTTCAAGGCCACCCTCCAACCTGTCTGGAGCGACACCGTAGCATCCTACATACCAGCACGGAATCCCCACTTGCAGGAAACAACACTTTTTCTCGACCTTTTCGATTTTCATTCCTTGAGCTTGTCCGGTCCCAAGTCCGGACGACGTGTCAAGTGTGACGCGTCGGGGGTGAGGGTTGCGACAGATGCCCCACTGTCGCGGGAGCCTGTTCACAGACTCCAATATGAGCGCTTC